GAAAAAAGGCTCCAGACCCTGTAGCTGGGTTCTGGAAATCCTTAGCTAGGTTAATTCATATGCCGATTGATGTTATAGACCCCCGGCTATGTACTCTTTGGAGCTGAGAAACCAGACTGCGGTTTGAGTTATTAACCAATAATATATATTTCACCTTTTCTGTTTTTGATCCTTGTGATGTGCTCTGATTTGGGGTCTGTCAGGCTGGTCCCCAGAGGGGGAGATACAGCTTATCAGGGGGGTTGTTTTCTTCTCAGCCAAGTGGAATTAATTCTGCTCCCTGGATTCTGCTTATTTCTTCCCACACCACAATCTACTTCAGGTAATGATCTGCTTTTTCTTCTATTCTAAATTGTGGCTACCTGCCATCGCCACTCCCCAGGCAGTGAGCTCAGGGCAGCCAACAGCGCGGAGAGCTCCGCCGTGGGGTTCTCCTGTGTCTGGGGTGCTGTCCCCTTTAAGTCGTCAGCCGGGAGAAACTGCGGCTCCCGGCAAGGGTGCAGCTGGCGCACGCAGGCTAGACAAACCTAGAGCGCTTTAAAGCATTCTTGGTTTCCTTTGTGAGTGGAAATCACACACAAAAATGGGGTTCAGGAGAGACCCTAGTACCCTAGTTCCCTAGTTCTAATTTCTGGACTCCACCTCTCCGTTTCCTTCACCTTGCCTCCCAATTTTCTGGTCTGGCAGCAGGAGCTCTGGACGGGTGCTTCTTATCGGGGCACCATTTTCTCCTTTTCCCCTGGCATCATCTTTTTAAAAAACTTTTGCTGGATTTTGCTCTTTCTGTCATTCACTTACCCGTTTTTTTGCAAGGACAAAAGTTCATTTATTACTGAGTAACCATGAAAGTTCAGTTTTGGGGAAATGAACAAATAACATCTAATTTTCACAGCCACTCAAATTGCCCAGTAAGTGTATTCCTGAGCGATATTCTATAATGCTGAGACTTAATATTCTTTTTAAAAATTTTGAACCCGTATGTTTATTTGTTTTTGTTTTGTTTTTTAATCATTTTATTGGGGGCTAATTTTTCTTGATCAACTAAAAATTTTTTTAAACAAGCTTCCATTTTATGTTTCCAAGTTTTTTGGCAGACAGGTGTTCTGCCTGCCAGAGACCCTGTGCACAGCAGAATGAGACTGTGTTGTCCTGCACCATCCTCACAATCATGGTTGAGCCTGTTTGGGGGAGGTTTGTTTTGTTTTCATTATTATTGCCTTTTACTATCAGCATCTTGAAAAAAGCCACAGGGTCTTGAACTTGAAATCATAACATTAAAAATAGGTGATTGAACACCCTAGGATGATGATGTCAGCAAAGCACACCCCGAATCGTATCACTAACGATGAGCTGTGCAACCAACCAACCAAAGAGGGTGGTCGTGGGGCAGGTCACTGTAGCTTGGGAGTTGTGGAGGACTACCTGGATTTTGTTGTGTCCAATTTAATAGATTAACTTTCAATAAGTCACTTAACATAAGTACGTTTATTGTGATTAAGGTCCATTTGGACCGTTTTCTTCCATTTTATTTTGTGTTTCCTTCAACGTTTTTCTCCTTCCTCTTTCCCCACCTCTTCCCTTATTCTATTAGATTGTTCCCCTTCCCTTTATTCTCCACTGTTTTGGTTGAGAAGCTACAAATTGTACTATAATGGTTTCTTTATATGTCTTTTGATACATTTATTTATATTTTTGACATACAAAACCCTCAAATGCAATGCCATTGAGTCAATTCTGACTGAGAGAGAGTCTGGAAAATAGGGCAGCCCTGCCCCCTGTGGGTTTGGGGGAATGTAATTCTTGATGAGAGTAGCAAGCCTCATCTTTCTCCCGTGGAGCAGCTGGTGGCTTTTAACCGCTGACCTTGAGGTACGCAGCCCCTCATAACCACTAAGTCTTGTTGTAATCTCATTAGTTAATAGAGTACAGTATATGGGGCATCTGATGGCTCTGCATCATCCTAGAAACATTATAACATCCAGTCAGGCATTAAAAATATCCAACTATCCTTGTGTTCCTGGGGGAACTTTCCTTGCTTAGCTGGCATTACTGTATCATCCCTGTTACTATGTTATACATTTTACTAATTATGAAAATGAGCTTTAAAAATGTTTTAGGGGAACTGCCATCACCTTTCCTTCTATCTTCACAAACATTTCTGGAAGCACATGACCGTAACACAGCACCCCAATGCAGTGAACATCCATGCCTTGACAGATGAGGGCGGGCACCAGAGATGCTTATATTTATTCAAATTTCATCCATACATACAATAGAGAAATTTTATTTATATCAGCAGTTTAAAAAAAAGGAAGGGAGGAGTAACAGTGAATGAAATGTTCGTTTTAAAGTGCCAGGATGAGGAAGAGATCACAAAAAAAGGGGGGGGACCATGTTGAGATGAGAGGAAATGGGTCTGAACAATATATTAAGTGAATTATGTTACACAATGTTTTCCAAATAACTTATACATCAGAAGAAAGGCTATCAAGCCTTGGCAAGTTTTCTATTTTATAACCATACTCCAAGAGGTCTTGGCTAGCATGGCCTGACCCTGCCGCCAAGTCAATTCCGACTGAGGGCAGCCCCGTAGCTCTTAACCTATGCCAGGTGTTTTGGAATCCTCACAGGATGGGACCACCTTGGTTGGCTCCAGACTGCAGTGAGACATGAGAATTTATGGAGGAAACTGTAATAAAGTGACACATTTCAGCAGCGAGAAGACTATAAATACATCCTTTACATCAAGATATATATGTACACACACATAAACATATATACAAACATATAAAAATATCTGCCTCAACCAAATACATAAAGTGTTTCAAAAGAACAGAATTTGTTTTTGAAACACACAACCACACACACACACACACACACACACAGAGTAAAATGGAAGAGTTTGCTCTCCACTTCTGCCTTGATTTGAATAAAATAAACTCCCCGCATTTATAGTTATGAATTCAAAGTGATTATAATACAGCACATGGGCAAGAAGATTTAATTCTCTGAGCAGGAGTAGGTCTGGCTGGGAGGAGTGGATTGAGGTGTGAGAAGGCGGACTATGAAGGAATCAAAGAGACTGACTGAGCACTATTTGACACCATGGTTCAGGTGATGCCCTGCAGATTGCATCGTTATATTTCCTTTAAAAACAATAACAATATCCCAATTCAGCGAAGCTCTTAAAAAAATGAGTCCCCCCATTTTGTTTTGTTGTAGAAAAGAAGGTTCCCATTTTAAATTATACCTCATGTTTTCTGTGAAAATTAAACCTATGCATGGAAAGGAAACACCTTAGTTTTGAATTGGTTTTCGTTTGTTTGTTTGGTGTTGAAACACTGCCTGGTTTCGTGAAGGGGCAGATTTGCATTTACCTGCGACCAGGTTCTAAAGAGCCTCTGGAGAAATGTCATTTTCCATGACAGAGTGGCCCCCACCCCCGAAATCATTCAGTGGTATAAACAGCATGTTCCAATGTAAACCCCAGTAACAAAAAAATAGTTTTGTATCAAATACAGTATCAAAGCGTCATTGTATGTAAACACAGTGATTCTTGGTAAAGATTAGAGACCCAAGTACCACCCAAAAATGGCCATGGGATTCACCCCGATTAAAAAAAAAAAAAAAGACTCGTCAGGGAGGAAAGAGTCCCTCCCACCCCCGCCCAGCTCTCTCCTCAAGCTGTTGGGTCATTGAAGCGCTCAACTTCTCTCGGGAAATTGCCTCCAAAGTATGTGGACATTTCTGCACAAAGCACCAGAGCAGAGAGATCAGAGAACACAGCTGAGTGGCTGCAGCTGCTTAGAAAGACACACCACTGGTGCATCTGCCTGAGAGTGTCCAGAAAAGGATGTCTGGGGAGTCTGTCGCCAGCAGGAGTCTGTCCCCGGCCTTCTTTGCATGTGGTTCACGAGCTGGCAAGCAGCCTTGTCTGGAGAAGCCTTGGTGTCCCTTGGGTGCGATCTTCCTGTGAACACTGGCTGCTGGGTGGCACACAGGGTGGTCCTCTGGCCTTGAGGCTGTCCAGCAGAACCTTCAGGAACCCCCCTCCTGAATGTTTCCTTGCATCCTGGAATATTCATGTTCCTCAGGCAGCCAGGCAGTTCTTCATTCAGATCTTCCAGGACCCTCTTGTTTTTGTTATTTTTCTTCACTATTTTCTTGGAAAAGCACCATTCCCTCATCAAACTAAGTAAGCCCAAGTAAAAGAAAATTTAAGTGATCCGCATGCTGGTTCTACTGCTTTTCGGCTTTGACAAGAGTTTGCTCAAGAGTCCTGCCTACAGGAGACGGAAACCTAACCGTGGTGACCACTAGCCCTTGAGGTCTGAGAAGGTGACATTGCAGCTCTCACTACAGCTGGAGGAGGTGCTGAGCAAGGCGGAGCCGGTGCCTGACTCTGGAGAAGGAGGAAAAACAACAGATCAATGATGGAGGTCTGTCTCAGCTTGGCCTTTGTCCTCTAAGAACAAAACAATTAAGAACCCCTTTCTTATTTTTTTGGGTACCCTTGTAGGCTACAAATGGTTAAGCACTAGTCTTCTGAGAGGTTGGAAGTCAGCGTCTGCTCAGAGGTGCTTCAGAAGAAAGGCCTGGCAACCTGTGACTTAAATATCATCCACCGAGAACCCCACAGAGCACAGCTCTGCTCTGAAGCACATGGGGAGGCCCTGAATCAGAGTTGACCTGACAGCGTGTTTTTGTTGCCCTCTCAAGTCATCAGTGGGGTGTATGTGACAGGAGGGTCTGAGTGAGGCATGTGTGGTGTGTGGGCTCTTACCTGAGCTGCTCAAGCACTGAGCTGATTTGGATTTGCCGATGAGTGTCCACAGGCTGGTGGCCGACACCCACCCCTCCTTATTGGTGGTCAGGTTCCTAACATACCTGGAAGGGGTGTGGGTGTCAAATGGCTCTAGCCCATGGAGTCAACAGGTCTCAGAGGTGAGAAGACTTGGGGGCCCCTCTTACCATAGTCCCTCGTCGTTCTCATGGACCACCTCCACCGTGTCCCCACTCCTCATGGATGTGGCCTCTGGGCCCGCTGCTTCCTGATCCACCACCACCGGGTATTTACCAGGAACCTACGTTGGGGAGACACAGGAGGGAGGGGCCTGAGAAGGGCCCACAGTCTAACCTTCGCCTCCTCTGAACACTATCAGGCAAAAAGAGACCCCACACCCGCTTTCATCAGGCCTGGCCCGTGACACACATACACACCACACCACACCACACACACCACCCGAACCACAAGAGTATGAACTTCCACTTGTCCAGAAAGAAGGAGAGACACTTCTTGCTGCATCAGGCTACTGCTCAGTCAGGGAGTTCCTGGTTAGAGGGCCAGCTTTAGATTGGTCAGGTCTCTTAGCTGAAGGAAGCTGTGAGGGGTCATTTTACGACCACGTTAGAGAAAAACCTTTCTCCTGCGATAAACCTCCACAAAACCCGCTGCCACCACATCAGCTCCGACCATGTGTTAGAGAAGGATTGCTCCAGAGGGCTTTTAGGGTGGTGATCTTTGTGGAAGATCTTTATCTTCCATAGCAGTCCAACCAACATGGGGATCTTTATAGACTGTCAGGCCTTTCCTCTGTGGCACTGCTAGATGGGTTCGAGCTGCCTACTTTGAGATGAGCAGTTGAGGGCAAGAAAGTGGAGCCACCAGGGAGCCTTCTGTAGCAC